TTCTCTTCCTTCCATATGGATCTATATGCGGTCCTACAGTAACTAAGCGCTGGGCTCTGAGTTGGAAAGTCTGAATTGCACAGGATTCTGGCTCTGCTACTTCCAGCCAGGTGACCAAGTTGCCCAACCATTCTGTCTTATTTTCTTCATCTGTAAAATGGGGAAAATAATAGAGGTTTTGTGAGGATCAAAGGCTTAGTATAGAATCCCCAGATAATAATCACTCGATGAACATCTGCCATTGTTCTTTTCTGTATTTGTTACCCCTTCTACTTTCTTATTCTAAAGCACCCTCTTCCAGTGCCCAGCCACTCCCTTCCCACCCCTATAAAAATGATGAAGGGAGAAATTTTATGTTGGGAAATTTCTATCTTTTCACATATTTCCCCCTTGGAAATTGGAAAAGGACTCCTAGTATACAACTTCAGTAGATTCCCTAGGTTCAACTCACAGAATTCCGGTCTGCCATTGGAAAATATTTTTTCTTTTTTTTTTTTTAAGATTGTATTTATTTATCTGAGAGGGAGGGAGAGAGAAAGAGAGCACACAAGCAGGGGAGCAGGAGAGAGAGAAGCAGACTCCCCGCTGAGCAGGGAGCCTGATGCAGGGTTCAATCCCAGTTCCCTGGGATCGTGACCTGAGCTGAAAGCAGACGCTTAACCAACTGAGCCACCCAGGCACCCGTGCCATTGGAATATATATGCTCACACATTTGAATATGCTTAACTACTTTTTATAGGAGCTCCTCCTTTGCCTGGAGGTGATTTTGTAATTTAGCATAACTTTGAAGAGGAAGGATATTGTAAGACACACCTGTCGCCCAAAAGCTAACGACTAAACAACCATTTGATTATTGGAGGCCCTCATATATTAATAAGAGTAAGTTTAACACGACATATTCCTTTTTGATGGTTCTCCAGTCTTATCAGGCTGGGAAGGTACGTGATGGCAAAAGAAGACCTAGGTTCAGGAGAGCAAGGATAGCATCTCTCTTTCTCTATAGTACCTGGCATAGCACCCAGCTTGTTCATTCCCTGGCATACAGTAGAAGCTCAATCAACACTACTTGCCAGCTGTGTGATATTGGGCAAGTTACTTAACTCCTTTGACCCTCAGTAGAAAATATATACTACACCTACTTGGAAGGGTTTGTTTAAGGAGAAAATGAGCTAATATTAGTAACGCCCCACTCAGTGCCTGAGCAGGGCAGTTGGTTCTCTTCCCCTTTCACTTCTTGTGTATGGCCTGATTATACCCACCCCCGGCCTGATTATAAGTTATTTGAGTCAGGGACTTTGCCCAGTGCCTAGCATATGACCTTACACATAGGGATAGCTTCAATTTATTTACTCATTCAGTGAATCTTTGAGTATCTACAATGGACAAAAGCTTGGAGTTGATAGAGAGCTGGCACATTCAGGAACCCCACGTAATTGAATATGACTGAAGCAGAGACTTCCAGGAGGAAATGATGAGAAAGAGCTAGAATGGTTAGCCTGGATTAGCTCTCAAAGGGCTCTGTAGGTCTTATAAGAATTTTGGACTTTACCCTTCAAGGCAGAGGATTGCCACTGAACCAAGGAGTGGCAAAAACTTTTGTTTTTACTTTATTTTTTTAATTATTATTATTTTTTAAAGATTTTATTTATTGGGCTGCCTGGGTGGCTTAGTCGTTAAGCGTTTGCCTTTGCCTCAGGTCATGATCCCAGGGTACTGGGATCAAGCGCCGCATTGGGCTCCTTGCTCTGAGGGAAGCCTGCTTCTCCCTCTCCCACTCCCCCTGCTTGTGTTCCCTCTCTCGCTGTGTCTCTCTCTGTCAAATAAATAAATAAATAAAAATCTTTTAAAAAATAAATTAAAAATTATTTAAAATAAAAAAGTTTATTTGAGAGAGAGAATGAGAGAGAGCATGAGGGGGGGGGGTCAGAGGGAGAAGGTGACTCCCTGCTGAGCAGGGAGCTGGATGCGGGACTCCGTCCTGGGACTCCAGGATCATGACCTGAACTGAAGGCAGTCGCTTAACCAACTGAGCCATCCAGGCGCCCTCGTTTTTACTTTAGAATGGTTTGTGGGGTGCCTGGGTGGCTCAGTCGGTTAAGTGCCTTCAGCTCAGGTCATGATCCCAGGACCCTGGGATCGAGCCCCACACGTGGCTCCTTGCTCATCGGGGAGCCTGCTTTTCCCTCTCCTTCTACCTACTACTCCTCTGCTTGTGCTCTCTCTCTCTCTGTCAAATAAATAAAAATTCTAAAAAAAAAAAAAAAGAATGGTTTATGGTTCTCAGACAAGTGTGTGTAAGAATCACCAGGCAAGCTTGTTAAAAATGGGGGATTCTAGGGGCGCCTGGGCGGCTCAGTCATTAAGCATCTGCCTTTGGCTCAGGTCATGATCCCAGGGTCCTGGGATCGAGCCCCACATCCGGCTCTCTGCTCAGCAGGAAGCGTGCTTCTCAGTCTCTCCCTCTGGCTTGTGTTCCCTCTCTCGCTGTCTCTCTCTCTCTGTCAAATAAATAAAATCTTAAAAAAAAATGGGGGATTCAAGAGCCACATTGCCCAAGAATATGCATTTACTTAATTTTATTTTTCTAAGAATAGGCATTTAAACTGGTACCCTAGGGGCCCCCATCTGCCTCAGGTGGTAGAGCATGCACCTCTTGATCTCAGGGAGGTGAGTTCAAGCTCCAAGTTGGGAGTAGAGCTTGCTTAAAACAAAACAAAACAAAACAAACAAAAACAAACAAAAAATGGTACCCCAGATGATTCTGATCCACTCAAATATATAGGCACAAGAGAGACATACCTTAGAAAAATAATAATAAAAAAAAAAAAACAGGAGGCTGGCTCTCTCGGCCTTAGCGCCATCTTCTTGGAAACCTCTGCGCCATGAGAGCCAAGTGGAGGAAGAAGCGAATGCGCAGGCTGAAGCGTAAAAGAAGAAAGATGAGGCAGAGGTCCAAGTAAACCGCTAGCTTGTGCACCCATGGAGCCACAGGAGCAGAAATAAGGAAAGCCAGAGGCCAGGGACGCTGGTACCAATTGTTGGACTGCATGCCTACTTTCTAGAGCTTGATTCAAGGGCTCTAGATCATCGCCATCTGATCGCAACGACCACCTTTGAAGAGACCTGCCTTGTTCATACCAAAACAGTCCCTTTTGGTCCTTTGCCCTGGACCTGTGACTTTCGGGACTAATTCTGTTTTCATTTGTGGCTGGATGTAACACGTGTACAATAAATCATCTCTTCTGCTGTCTTAGCTGAAGAAAAAAAAAAAAAAAAAAAAACAGGAGGCTATTGCAGTAGCCTTGGGGTAAGCAGACTTGAATTCAGGCTTCACCTGCCTGCCCTGATCAATTTGCTTTCCTTGGCCTGTCTTACACCTAGCACCTTAAGCCTCCTCTTCCCCATGGAGGATCAGCTGGAAGCCCAGCAAATGAGACTAGCCCAGAGACCAGACAGAGGCTGAAGAGAAGTAGCTAGATTTGGTAGGTATTTAGAAGGTGGAATAGACTAGACTCAAAGATCCTTTGGATGGGGACCGGCGAGGGTGAAGAAGAGCAGGAAGTCAAGGACGCCCCCTGGCTCTCCGGCTTGGAGGAGCAATAGTTGTAATGGTGTGCCATTCAGTGAACCAAGAACTCAAAGGAGAAGGGCAGTTCCCGGAAGGTGAAGTGAGGAATTTTAGTTGAGATTTGCTGAGTTTGTGGTGTCTCTGGGACATCCAAGTGAAGATGTTCACAGGTCAGCTGGATTTATGGGTTGGAAGATCAGAACAAGATCTAGTTTAGAAATACGTATTTGAGAATCAGCTAATAGGTGGTAATAGAAGGTGGGTGAAATCATCCCAGGAGAGGGAATAGAATGATAAGAGAAGAGGATCTAAAACAAAATGCAAGGAACATTTAAGGGAAGGGCTGACGAGGAAAAGAATTGCAAAGGGATCAAGGACCGGCCTGAGTCAACAGCCCAAAGTCACAGGGAGGGAGTTGAGAGGAGTGAGGAACGGGGAGGCACACTGGATTCAGCACAGAAGCCTGTGGTGACCTTGCAGAGAGCAGTTTTAGCAGAGCTCTAGGGACAGCACCAGATTGCCGTGGATTGAGGAGTGAGTGGGAGGTGAGGGAGTGGAGGCAGCTGGCATGGACAGTTTTTCAAGACGTTTGGCCAAGAATGGAGTGAGATGGAAGAAGGAAACAGAATCAAGAGAGTCTTTTTCTATGCTAAGGGAGGAGTGGAAGAAAGCACAGGATGAAGGAAATAATAAAACCTACCGAGAGTACCGGGAGGAATCCACTGCCCTGAAGTCAGGATTGTTCCTAAGAGGGACCTACTTCTGTTTTTTTAACCTGACCGATTGGTTTGGAATCTGGCTATTGAGTGGTTCACTCTTACAGATCCTGTTTCCTCTTGGAGGTTGGGAGCCAGGCCATGAGTAAGGAGTTTGTAGGATGAAAATTTTTCCTCAGCTAGCAAAGTACGGGTTTACCAGCAAGAAGCAAGTAGGCACCGCACTGAAGCAAGAGCCCGGTGGGAAGCGGGTTGAGGCTGAAGCTTTAAAATTCAAAGGATGAGAGGCTGAGTGAGTGTGATGTTCCTCCAACCGTGGGGAAAGCTGCATTTGGGTCACCAAACAAGATGGTTTTTTCCCAGAACCTCCTGCTGGGGCTTTTACTTAGGCTTCCCCCTTCTCCTCTACTCAGTCTGCCTTCCCCGGCCTGAGTCTCACGTCTAGGCCTCAAGCCTCCTCGTCCCCACCGAGGACCAGCTGGAAGCCATTTTGATTAAGCTCCACCACAGAAGGAGGACAATACAGCCCCGCCCAGAGCCAGGCGCGCCCCCGCGGCGGGCCGGGTGCGCGTGTCCGCGCCTCTTCCCGCCGGCCTGGCGGGCGCCGGGCCCAGGCCAGGGCGGTGCGAGGCGGGGGGTGGGGGTGGTTATGTAAGCGTTGCGCGCTCCCGCGAAGCGGCAACCAATGGGAAGCCCCGGCGGCTCGTGCTCGCGCACGCAGGGTGGGGGGAGGGAGCGCACGACGTGCGCGCGCCCTCTCCCTCCTCCACCGCTGCCGCCTCCTTCTTCTGCCGCTCCTGGTGCTGCTTGTGTGCTCGTTCGGTGCGGACCTGGTACCTCTTTTGTGAAGCGGCAGCTGAGGAGACTCCGGCGCTCGCTATGGCCGACGAAAAGCCCAAGGTGAGCTCGGCGCTGGCTTCCTCGGCTCGCCGCGCGGTCGGGGTCACGGCGCTGGCCGGGGTCCGGCCCGAGCCCGCCGCGGGCTCCCCGCGCCTTCCTGGGCCCCCCACGGGGACGGCCGCGGTTCAGGCCCGGGCGCTCCGCGCCATTTTCCTCCCTCCCCTCTTCCTCCCTCCCGCGCCGGAGGAGGCCCCGCCGCCCTCCCCCGCCCCCGACCGCCTCGGAGTGCGCGCCGGGCGCGAGTAGGGCGGGCGAATCGCGGACGCCCGCGGGCCCACCGGCCGCGAGCGGAGCTCCTCCGGCCCGGCCGGCTGGGCGCGCGTGCGGAGGGGCGTTAGGGCGCGCGGTGTCCCCACCCTCCGCGGACCCCGCGCCGGGGCGGGTGTTGCCGCCTCCGCGGTGGCGGGGAGTTCCCTCCACCCCGGGCCTCCCCCTCAGGGATGGGGGGCTGCGGGCATCTGGGGACCCCTGCCCCGCGCCGCGCTGGCCTGGCCAGGGCTCGAGGAGAATCAATGGGCTGCCGATGGGTTCCCCATCGGGCCGTCGTGAGGGCCCGGGGTTCGGGGATTCCCGGGGAGTATTTCCCACTTTCCTGGCTTCGGGGTCCCCAGGGGGCTGGGCAGGGGCTTTTCCCTGGGTGCCAGATCACCCCTAACCTGCGGAGACCATGCGGTTTCGAGAAGTTGGAGGCAGAGGTGCGAGCAGAAAGACTTGGTAGGGCTTAACTTTTTAACGCGGGTTTTGAGGCACCGGGAGGCTCTTCCCGTGAGGAGTAAGGCACACACTTCTTCCTGGCACACGGGACTTTCGTAGGGTTTGTTCTGTGACACCCCCTCCCCTTTCCTTTCTGAAGTGACTTGGGGGCTACGGAATTACATCAGCCCTTGATTTTGGTGAACTTCAGGTTGGGTGGAAATCTACAAGGAAGATTTGGAAGAAAACTGCATTTGACCCATGACAACAAAGGGGAGGGGAGAATAAGCTCTTAACTGAAAATAAAAGTGAGGCTGCTAATAGAGGCAAACATGAATAGTGGTTCTAAGTTACTACCGCTGCTTCAGAGAGAATCGAGGGATATTCCTCAGTTTTTTTTTTTAATGTAGTTGAGATACAAGTTATTAAATTGAGTTTAGTAACTTTTTAACAAGACAGTTGTAATGAGTTTCAGTTGCAAGTTTTAGATTTTTATCCTTGTACTTATTCTGTACTTAAAGCGCTTTATAAAGAGACAGGATGGTTATTTTTAATCTTTTTAAGGGAAATGACATATTCTGCAGGTTAAAATATGCCATTTTAGAAAATTCAGATGCAGGAGCGCCTTTTAGTGAATTGAGTGGGACCCATCGATAAAAGTCAATGGTTTTCGCTGATGGTATTGCATGTAGGCTACTCTTCCGTTTCTGTGACAGCTATTTAATATCATTGCTCCAGGATTTTTCATCTTTCAGATTGATTTCAGCGGCTGAAAACAGCTGTATACTCTTTTATCATACAGAATGAGAAACCTGTTGATTTCTGAAGCAAGTTGGGCTGCTGCTACTTTAAAAGGTGTTTGTTTTTCACATTTTCCAAATTATACTTTTATTTTTCTTTCAACAGGAAGGAGTCAAGACTGAGAACAACGATCATATTAATTTGAAGGTGGCGGGGCAGGATGGTTCTGTGGTGCAGTTTAAGATTAAGAGGCATACACCACTTAGTAAACTAATGAAAGCCTATTGTGAACGACAGGTGAGGAACTGACATACGCACTTCCAATAAAACTTATTAAGAAAAAACAAACCTTATTTTTTTGAAGAATAGAAAGTAGACTGGCATAATATTATCTTTCAGTTGAATGAATGTACTTATATACTTGACATATCAGTTCTATCCTACCCTTGGTATGCTGATGCTTCATGAAAGTCCTTAGGATGGTTTGGTTAATATTCTATATGATTCTAGTCCTATGCCAGAATTCATCAAATCATAGCCACAGCACAAAATTTGTTCCTCAGGGGATGAGATTTTACTTTTATAAGAGAATAAGAAGGATCTTGATAAAATTTCTTGTTAGGCTCTTTTTTTCTTAATCCATTTAAAATTTGTGTCACATCAAAACATTTTATTTTGAGCATTTAAGCAAATTTGGAAATTAAATTGTGAGTTTAACAACACTGCAATTTTCCTGAAGCATGTAAAATTGTAATATTTTCTTAAATAATGGTAGATGTCAAGAAATTTAACCTCCTGAGTCAGGCAGAAACATTCCTATGTTATAGGGACATTTGCATTTTACTCAGAAATTAGTAAATGGACAGCAAGAAGAGGAAGTAGAGATGAATAGATGCTGGGAGGTGAGTGCAGAGTTTAAGACAAAGAAGCTTCCTTTTGTGAGGTTGAATCTGTAACAATACGGAGGCAACTTTAAAGATGACTTTTGCAAGTATAACAAAAACTCTGGTACCTATATTCAATTATAACCTGGCAGAAGTATTTTTTTTTAATTCAACTTTGAATGTATAACATAAAAGTTGGGAAAGTCATTCTTTTAGACAAAAACAAGTTGTCTGCATTGCAAATTGTCCTAAAAATAGGCTCCAGATAGAGTAAGACTTAAACGTGTAGAAGTTGGGAGATTGAGTTTGAGCTGATATTTGGACTTCCTGCATGAGCTCTAAGGGCATTTGGAAGAAACTGAGGATAAACTTTGAGATTGAAACTTTGTTTTATGCCTAATTTATTTATAATAGAATACTGTGCTTATGATTCTTTTATCTTCATACATAAACTAATCTTAAAGTTTTTTTTTTTTTTTTTAAGATTTCATTTATTTTTTTGACAGATAGTGAGAGCAGGAACACAAGCAGGGGGAGTGGGAGAGGGAGAAGCAGGCTTCCCGCCGAGCAGGGAACCGGATGTGGGGCTCCATCCCAGGGCCCTGGGACCATGACCCAAGCCAAAGGCAGATGCTTAATGACTGAGCCACCCAGGCACCCCTATAGTTCTTTAAAAGATAATGGTTTTCAGTGTACTCTTATTTGAAGAATTTTGGCGAAATCCCTCCACATACTAATAAATATGTACTTCCTACTTGTGCTAAAGAATTTTTTGCTCTAGCGTCTTCCATATTTGAACACTAGTGCCCCTTCAGGTTACAGGGGAATTTTAAAAGGTAATCTTGTAGAACTTTTACACAGCATACCATTTACAAAGTAGAAACTCATGCTTAGATTTAGTGGTTTTCTTTCTTTTTTTTTTTAATATTTTATTTATTTGACAGAGACACAGCAAGAGCAGGAACACAAGCAGGGGGAGTGGGAGAGGGAGAAGCAGGCTTCCTGGGGAGCAGGGAGCCCGATGTGGGGCTCGATTCCAGGACCCCGGGATCACGACCCAAGCCGAAGGCAGACGCTCAACAGCTGAGCCACCCAGGTGCCCTAGATTTGGTGGTTTTCAATAAAATTCTCTGCCTATCTTTTCTTGTTACTAAATTTTAGATTTTAAATGGTCATACATTTTTTAAACGGTCCTGTTTTTCAAAACTTAATATGGAAACTCAACTGTAATGCAAAGTTGAAAAAACTTTTCATTGAATACCTGTGTACTTACCACCTAGCTTAACCATTAACATTTTATTATACATATCTATTGATAATCTCTATTAATCCTAGACTGTTAATATTTAAGACTTCCTGTATTTCTTGTAGGGGCCCCAAAGGAACTTTTTACTTATCTGATATTTATCAGATGCCTACCATGTGCTGGGGCTTATACCGTATGCCAGAAAAACAGACACATAGCACATCCCATATTGCAGATGTCTTTATACGAGATTGTTCTGTAAGATTGAGTTAGTGGGTCAATCAAGAATTTGGCGATTTTCCTGGTATGTTAAAATTTAGTGTATTGGGGCGCCTGGGTGGCTCAGTCGTTGAGCGTCTGCCTTTGGCTGGGGTCATGATCCCAGGGTCCTGGGATGGACCCTGCATCGGTCTCCCTGCTTGGCAGGTGGCCTGCTTCTCCCTCTCCCACTCCCCCTACTTGTTGTTCCTGCTGTCACTGTTTCTCTGTCAAAAAAAAATTTTTTTTAGTGCATTACTCACGTAAATAAAGTGAAAATTTTTCAGTTAGGTTTAAGTTGACTAAACTTGGGGCCACTCTTAATTTGCACTAGGGTAAAAAGAAGCATGGTAATCCATTAAAAAATAGAATTCTACTGCATATCACTTGGAATGCAAATATAATTTGAAGATAAGATTCAGGAAAATTTGGAAAGATTAGTTCCCATTTTCTTTTTAAATTAGGAATAACCTCAGAGTTTTGATTAAACAAGATCCCTGTTTACTTTTCAAATGTTTACTTCTCTCATTCTAAGGAAGAGGGAGTTAAAGTGTCACATAATTGGGCTGATCCCTGCTTTTTAAGTGTAGGTATAGCCTTTCAAAGGTCTAAATTTTTTTTTTTAAGACTTTATTTATTTGACAAAGACACAGCGAGAGAGGGAACACAAGCAGGGAGAGTGGGAGAGGGAGAAGCAGGCCTCCCGCCGAGCAGGGAGCCCAATGCGGGGCTCGATCCCAGGACCCCGGGATCATGACCTGAGCCGAAGGCAGACGCTTAACAACTGAGCCACCCAGGCGTCCCAAAAGTCTAAAATATTTATCCAATCTAATTTGCATAGCTAAAGGTGGCTTTTTGTTTTTTTGTTTTGACAGTTGAGGATTCTTGACTAAGGATTTCTTATCAAGATTAATTGAATACTCATATTTACTTTCTAATGAACTTAGTTGGCATTGGATCTTTGGAGGAGTTCCAGTAGATGTCTAATAGGCATCTCAAATTGAATGTGCAAAAGAAGACTTTTGATTCTACTCGTAGAAATCTTTTTCTCTGGTGTCCCTTCTCAATAAATAGCACTATGTTACATTTAGTTGGGAGGTCAAAATCTTGGGATCATCCTTGATGTTTTATAACTCCTATAAAATCCATCAACAAATTCTGTTCTCTACTTAAACCTGTACTGTTCAAAACAGTAGTCACAAGCCACGTGTGACTGTTTACCTCCTGAAATATGGCTAGTCCAAATTAATATGTGCCGGAAAGTGTACAATATATGCCAGATTTTGAAAACTTATAGTGGGAAAAGTAAAATATCTTAATTTTTCAAGTGTCAATTACATGTTAAAAGGATTTTTTATTTATTTGCAAGAGAGAATGAGAGAGAGGGAGGAGGGTCAGAGGGAGAAGCAGACTCCCCGCCCAGCAGGGAGCCCAGTGTGGGACTCGATCCCGGGACTCCAGGATCATGACCTGAGCTGAAGGCAGTTGCTTAACCAACTGAGCCACCCAGGCGCCTAAAACAAAAGGATTTTTTTTTAAATTTTATTTATTTAATTGACAGAGAGACAGCGAGAGAGGGAACACAAGCAGGGGGAGTGGGAGAGGGAGAAGCAGGCTTCCCGCCGAGCAGGGAGCCCGATGCGGGGCTCGATCCCAGGACCCTGGGATCATGACCTGAGCCGAAGGCAGTCGCCTAACCAACTGAGCCACCCAGGCGCCCCAAAACAAAAGGATTTTTAACATTGATTTACAACATTTAAAATTTTACCTGCTTGGGGCGCCTAGGTGGTCAGATGGTTAAGCCTCTGCCTTCGGCTCAGGTCAGGATCCCAGGGTCCTGGGATCAAGTCCCACATCCGGCTCCCTGCTCAGCGGAGAGCGTGCTTCTCCCTCTCTCTCTCTGCAACTCCCTCTGCTCGTGCTCTCTCTCTCTGTATCTCTCTGTTTCAAATGAGTAAATAAATAAATCTAAAATTTTACCTGCTTTTTAATGTGGCAATTAGAAAAATTAAAAATTACATATGTAGCTCACATATTTCTCTTGGATAGTGCTGAGCCCTCAACCATTTTATTCCACTATTGGTTGATTACTAACTTCGGAGACTTTCCTGATTAATTCAGAGTGTTTCTGCTCCCATTACTCGGTCCTCTCACTGTTTTTGTTTTTTGTATTGATCACTGTCTGTATTTGTCTCTCCATTAAAATGTAAGCTACATGGGGCGCCTGGGTGGCTCAGTCATTAAGCATCTGCCTTCGGCTCAGGTCATGATCCCAGGGTCCTGGGATCGAGCCCCGCAACAGGCTCCCTGCTCAGCGGGAAGCCTGCTTCTCCCTCTCCCACTCCCCCTGCTTGTGTTCCTGCTCTCGCTGTCTCTCTCTCTGTCAAATAAATAAATAAAATCTTTTTTAAAAAAATGTAAGCTACATGAGCATAGGGCCTTTTTGTTTACTATTTCTCTAGAACTTAAACCACTACCTACATATAGAGTGTGTTCAATAAATGCTTACAAAATGATAGAGAAAATTCAAACTGCCTCCAGAGGTTGGTTTGTAAATAAATTTTCTTTTCACATGTAGAATTGAGTTTGCCCACTTTGTCAGCTGTATAGCTTTTGGCTGAGGGCATACTCTTCCACTCTAGTGTGCATATACTATAACAGATTCTTTCATGGAATGTTAAGTGGCTTCAGAGAGCCCAGGCTCATTGATTGGTTTAGTCCTGTTCATTTTTGTGAAATGAAGAAATAGGGATCCAAAGAGATAACCTCACAGAGCTCTTCTGTGGTACAACTCTGAAGCTAAAGCTGAGACAAAGTTTGCTCAGAAGTGGAACCCAAATACGGGTTTAATGTAAATTCATTGTTTGAATTTACAGGATTCATGGAATCTGAAAGGCAAGTCTCCTGAATTTTGGACTTTTGATCTTAGCAAAATAAAACATTTTATTGTTAAGGAAAAGCATGCAAACAGGTAGTAATAAAGGAATATGTTGTGTGTTCTGGATTTGTGTTTTTTTCCCCTCTTGTTTTGAACAGCCATGCCATTGACCTTAGGACCTTCCACTGGATATAGTAGAGGAAGAACCCAGCATATGGCTTAGTATTTTGTTAAAGCAATGGATCTTCAATGGAGTGTTTGCAAATGTATAGTTAGTAGTTAATGGCTTGCATTTAATTCATGGTTGCTTTGCATAATCACAAATTAAATTTGGATGTCCTGAGGACTGAATTAAGGTTGTGGATGTCCCCTATCTGGTCTGGGAATTGCTTTATTCCTCAAGACAAAGGCTAGTCTGAAAGTGTTATGTGTCACAGACTAGAGTTTTAAAGGAAGGTAATAGGATCTTCATGTTAGAGGTAGTTTTAAAGACAGACTTAATGAATCCATGTTAAGTAAAGGAATACAGGTGTCATAAAGTATTGAGCACTTTGTTTCAATATTCTAGTCCTAGGAACTCAGTTAAGTTGAAGCAGGGATTTGTGTAACAATTATAGTTTGTGATTTGAGTATGATACAGGAGTGATTTTTTTTGTAGGATGCTTCCTTCAAAGCTCTTTTCATATTCACAGCATATCTCCAAAGATACTTTATTTTCCTCTTAGGGAAAGTATAGTATAAAGAGAGTATAGTATAAAGGAAAATCCTTATGTAGTATATGGAAAGTATAGTATAAAGAGTATAAGATACTCTTATATTTTCTCTCTTGTCTTCATTTGGCTGCAGTTACCAGCTTTGCTACTTTGTTCCTTTCCCCTTTTCCCCACTCCTGCCTCAGGTAGGTAATGATGAGTAAAACTTTGGAATCTCTTTTGCAGAAGGGGCTCATTTATCTCCTTAAATATAAAAAATTTCTTGAGGCTAAACTCTAGTAATGTAATTTTAAAATTCCCTTTTTGTAATAAAGCTCCTCAACTTAATAGCTTTAGATTTATTTTTAAATAAAATGAAGCATGGTAAGGTAGATACTGCTTTTTATCCATTTTATTCCATCAGTAACCTACCCGTGAGCACCTACTGTGTGCAAGGAATGCAATATAACCACGACAGTCTTAGGTTCTTGTCCCTCCTGGAGCTTACTTTTTAGTGAGAGGTTGACAAATTATCATTGCTGGTCTGGGTAAATACTGAGAAGGAATATAAAAAGCAGGTGGTTCTTTTGAGGTATTCCACAGTTTTAAGCTTATGTGCTTATGGATGGTTTTAGGACAGTTATGGTGGAAATGTTGATTACCCCCCAAGGGTAAGAACTTGTTGAATTCTTGTGGTGTGCCTAACATTGTGCTGGGTTTTGACATAGGTTACTCTTGCTTGGTGATAGGAATTGTTTGGATACAAATGAAGGTTAAGTAGCTTTAAGGCAAAATTTTAATCATTACATTTATTTAGGTGACTTCCAGTTTTCATTATTAAGGGTGGGGTTTTTTCCCCCTTTTCGGAGAGCTCTTTAAATGCATATATGTTGCTGTGCAAATATGTTACTTTAAATTTCAGTATCTTTCTAATTGATTTAAAAGCAGTTTGGGGCGCCTGGCTCAGTCGTTAAGCGTCTGCCTTTGGCTCAGGTCATGATCCCAGGGTCCTGGGATCAAGTCCAGTATCTGGCTCTCTTGCTCTGCGGAAAGCCTGCTTCTCCCTCTGCCTCTGTCTCTCATGAATAAATAAAATCTTTAAAAAAAAAAAAGTAGTTTGAAGCTATAATCTATTCAAGCTTGGAGTAGCTGTGGTCTCCAAAGTAATACAGCTTTTTTGAACGACCTTTTTTTTAAGATTTATTTATTTGAGAGAGTGAGAGTGTGAGTTGAGGGAGGGGCACAGGGAGAGGGAGAGAGAATCTCAAGTAGACTCTGTGCTGAGCACAGAGCCTGACTTGGGGCTCCATCTCACAATCCTGAGATTGTGATCTGAGTCAAAATCAAGAGTTGGCTACTTAACCAACTGAGCCACCCAGGTGCCCCTAAAAAGACCTTTTTTAAAAAATCATTTTTGGGGCACCCAGGTGGTCAGTCGTTTCAGCATCTGCCTTCGGCTTAGGTCATGATCCTGGAATCCCAGGATCAAGCCCCAAGTCAGCCTGCTCAGTGGGGAGTCTGCTTTTCTCTCTCCCTCTGCTCCTCCCCCAGCTTGTTCTCTCTCTCTCTCTCAATTAAATAAATAAAATCTTTTTAAAAAATCATTTTTCCAAAGAAGTTCAAACATAGTTCAGAGAAAGTGTGAAAGTCATGCCAAATCTTTTTATCCACACAGAAATGTTAACATGTTGATGATTGTTTATTTAGGTTTCTCTTTTAATATATTTATGGCTAAGTATGCATATAATTTTAGTTCTTACTGTTTCTTTGCATTCTTACTGCTTTTAAACTCTCTTGTAGGGTTTGTCAATGAGGCAGATCAGATTCCGATTTGATGGGCAGCCAATCAATGAAACAGACACACCTGCACAGGTAAAAATCTCTTTGTGCTAACTAGAAAAGTCAATGTTTTGTAATTTTCTCAACAGCCTTGTTTTTATTTGTAAACTTTTAGACATTGGAATATAGTTTTTCACCAGAGTGCAAAACTCTAAAATATCATGAATATTAGTATTTCTTCAGGATATGTCACTGGTTTCTAAATATCCAGTTACCATTTTGTAAAGCTGACAGGTCATTTAATTTAATCCATTCTTTCCTATTGCCAGCATTATTTGGAGAAAATAATTCAGAATGCTGTTTTTGTTGCTATAGCTCTTGATCATACTCCGGGTTCCCGCACAGGTGATTGGTTGGCTGTTGATCCTGAGCCTTTTTTACTTCTCATGCTGAAATCTCTTTTAGCTGTCCTAGTGAACTAAAGGGATCTTGGGGCTCTAACTGGAAGTGTATCTTGATGGTTTAGCTTGATCAGTAGGGTTCTTGATAGTAGGTGGCTTTCCAAAGCCTCTGCAAAAGGTGACGCTGTCTGATCCCTTTCTCTCTTCACATGTCACTTTGTAAGATATCAGCTGGGTGGTCTTCTATGGCAGAAGCTCTTTGTCTTTGTTTTTACCCTCTCGGGTTCCACTCAAGACTTACAGTTTAGGGAAAAAATATTTTGATAGAAGTTTAAATTGGAGCCCTTCTACTTTTAAATTTATCAGTCCATAAAAACTAGAAAGTGGTAAATATGGTAGGAGTGAAGCAGCCTACCCTGGTTGTGGTTTTGTTGATAACCTTCAAAAATTTGAAATGTTGGGGCACCTGGGTGGCTCAGCCGTTAAGCGTCTGCCTTTGGCTCAGGTCATGATCCCCGGGTCCTGGGATCGAGCCCCGCATTGGGCTCCCTGCTCTGCGGGAGGCCTGCTTCTCCTCTCTCACTCCCCCTGCTTGTGTTCCCTCTCTCGCTGTGTCTCTCTCTGTCAAATAAATAAAATCTTTAAAAAAAATTTTTTTTTAATGTCTAGTTTGTAATTGAGGGAAGAATATTTTCAAGTAATTTCCTGTGATGAGTCTCTAAGAAGCAGTTATAGTAGGTAGCCACAAGGAGGAGCTGAATTCTCTTGGTGAATGAGAGACAGGAAAAACTCTTCTATCCTTTGAAGGCATTTCAACTTTTACTATAAATGTAACATCCTGGGGGTTTTATTTTAGTAGATAGGCTGAAGACATGTTTTGATGGTTTAAAAAGAATAAAAACCTATTATGCTAAACTTGAATGTTTAGAATGTATTTGCTGTCTTTTGATGTTCTCACCCACCACCAAAAACAAGTTCTTGTCTCTACATTGCTGGCTGCAGATATTAAACTGTGAGGAGGATTTGTTCAGAACTGCATTATAAAATCCTTACATTGAATGTGGAATCGAACTCCTTTGAGTATTTGAAATTGAATTTAACTGTAGAATGAAATTGATTCATTTTAGAATTATTCTCCCAGTGTTTATTAAATAGAAGTATAAATTAGAACATCTTAATGACCAGTTTTAATAGTAATATAATTATGTGCTCACTGTTCTTTAAATATTCTCTTCGACTCATTTAATTCTCATAACTGAATGCTATTCCAATTTACAAAAGAGGGAATTGAGACTTAGTCATTAACATTTTAATGCCATAGTCCTACTTTTAGTGTATTTGAACTTTGTTAGAAATGATTCCCTTTCTTGTCTTTAGGTATCCAGGGTTCTTGATTTTTGTTTTTGTTTTTCTCCCCCCAAATTACCAGTTTTTAGAATGTATTTTTTTAGGGTAATTATGAACATAATAAACTTTTTTTTTTAAGATTTTATTTATTTATTTGACAGAGACACAGCAAGAGAGGGAACACAAGCCGGGGGAGTGGGAGAGGGAGAAGCAGGCTTCCCATGGAGTAGGGAGCCTGATGCAGGGCTCGATCCCAGGACTCTGGGATCATGACCTGAGCCGAAGGCAGACGCTTAGCAACTGAGCCACCCAGGTGCCCTCAGCATAATAAACTGTTACAAAGGTTATTTACTTCATAGCATTGCCATATGTACCAAGATTTTTCTACTGTGGTAGAAAGGATGGTTCTTTTATGTGTAATGTGTGGGTAGTGAGCCTTGCAATCTTAGGTTGTGAGTTGCAGTTTAAAATTTAAAGTAGTTTTTTAGTAAGTTTGTCCTTACACATATTCCTTCCCTTACTGCACATAGCTAACTGTAATGCTTTCTGCACATGCCAGGATGCATTCATGCTATGCCTGCATGTGCACACACAAACACACACTTTTAGAAATACAAATATAGTCATTTTGTAACCACTTTTTTTTTTAGATTTTATTTATTTGACAGAGAGACACAGCGAGAGAGGGAACACAAGCAGGGGGAGTGGGAGAGGGAGAAGCAGGCTTCCCGCTGAGCAGGGAGCCCGATGCGGGGCTCGATCCCAGGACCCTGGGATCATGACCTGAGCCGAAGGCAGACGCCTAACGACTGAGCCACCCAGGCGCCCCTATTGTAACCACTTTTGCCATCTTTTTTTTTTTTTTTTAAGATTTTATATATTTATTTATTGAGCATGAGCAAAGGGAGGTGGAGAGGGAAAGGGGGGAGAGAGGATCCCAGGCAGACTGTGCTGAGCCTGGAGCCCAACTCAGGGCTGGATCTCACCACCCTGAGATCATGACCAAGCTGAAATTGAGAGTCGGACGCCCAACTGACTGAGCCACTCAGACACTCTGCTATCTAGTTTTTAAGTTTGTTTTTTTTTTTTATTTTTTTTTAAAGATTTTATTTATTTGACAGAGAGAGAATGAGAGACAGAGAGCACGAGAGGGAAGAGGGTCAGAGGGAGAAGCAGACTCCCTGCTGAGCAGGGAGCCCGACATGGGACTCAATCCCAGGACTCCAGGATCATGACCTGAGCCGAAGGCAGTCGCTCAACCAGCTGAGCCACCCAGGCGCCCCTTAAGTTTGTTTTTAGCCTAATGTTATATGTTAGGGATAGTTCCATTTCTGCACGTGTAAATCTGTGTGGTATTTCATGTTAAGAGAGTACCACATTTCTTTGAGTTTTTATTGATAATTTAGGTTATTTCCAGTCTTTTGCTCATCTAAACATTGCAGTGAGACCCTTTACACATATTCTTATTTCCATTTATTTTTTATGTCTTTTTTTTTAAGATTTTATTTATTTATTTGACAGAGAGAGAGACAGCGAGAGCAGGAACACAAGCAGGGGGAGTGGGGGAGAGGGAGAAGCAGGCTTCTCGCTGAGCAGGGAGCCTAATTCAGGGCTCAATCCCAGGACCCTGGGATCATGACCCAAGCCTAAGGCAGACGCTTAATGACTGAGCCACCCAGGCGCCCTTTTATATCATTTTTTATTTTTATCATTATGATAAGTGATAAATTTATTTTGTCATTTTTATAACATTTTTATTTTTAATTAAAAAGTGAGGCAATTTAACTCGTGCACATATTCAGCTTTTTCACTTAAAATTCTTATTTTTTAAGATTCTATTTATTTGAGGGGGGGCACAAGCAGGGAAGAGGGGCAGAAGGAGAGGGAGAAGCAGACTCCCCGCTGAGCAGAGAGCCAGATGTGGACCTTGATCCCAGGACCCTGGGATCATGACCCTAGCCGAAGGCAGATGCTTAACCAACTGAGCCACCCAGGTGCTCCCCAGCTTTTTCACTTAAAAACTAAGTTTTCTATAATCTTCATATAAGGAAGACCAAGTGAAAAATTAATTTGACTGATGCTACATTAATCTATGGGATGTCCACAATAATGAACACTGAAATTGGGTGGAACTTATGCAGTTTTTGGGGTACTTGAGAGTTACAAATCTTAAGAGCTGATAATCAGTGGCCTTCCATTTGTTTTTCTTCTCTCGTATGCCAGTTGGAAATGGAGGATGAAGATACAATTGATGTGTTCCAGCAGCAGACAGGAGGTATCTACTAAAAAGGGAACCTGCTACTTTACTCCAGAACTCTGTTCCTCCAGACCAAGAAGACATTCTCAATTAGAAGGCCGCAATTTGGTTCCACCACATCCTGACTACTACAGTATAGTTTTCTCTATTCTTTCATTTTCCCCTTCCCCATTCCTTTATTGTACATAAAGTAACTGTGTATGTGCACAAGCATATTGCATTTTTTTTTTTTTAACTAAATGGCCAATGGTATGTTTTGATCGACATCAAATGGAGATGGGATGGGGGAAAATACTGCTTCTGTGAAAATACCCTCTCTCTCCATTAGTGGCATGCTCAGTCAGCTCTTATCTTTATATTCCAGTAAGTTATTTTGCTCTCACTGTTTAACAAAAAAAGAACAACATAAAAATCCTTGCATACCTTGTTCGATTGGAGAATTTTAATGTTTTTCATTTATCATTGTAAAACCAAGGACAATTTTATAACTTTTTTGTACGTAGCTGTTACATGTAGGGCAATCTGTCTTTAAGTAGGGATAAATTACTCTAAAAGAAATGAATCCTAGATAGTTTTCCCTTCAAGTCAAGCGTCTTGTTGTTTAAATAAACTTCTTGTTTAAAATGAGCTGTTTTCTTTATTCTGAAGAATATTGAGAAGCTTAGAAAAAACCATGAAGTGAGTAGGCTGCTAGAAGTAACATTTCAAGGAAGAAATAAAGCTACAGTGCATTCCTGACAGACTGATACAAAACAAAGAATAACAAAGTTTATAAATGACTAGCAACTGATGTTTCAGCCTCTTTGTTTAAAAAGCTTAGGTTGTTTCAGATATGCAACTTTACTAGCAAAAAAAATTGGGTCATAATGTTGTGGATTTGCTCCCAAGTATTCTCCTCTGTAACCACTACCTGGCAGAATGAGTCAGTTCTCTCAGCTAAGAGAAAGTCGAGTTTGCTAAGTCTGCTGATAAATCACTCAACCATTCTAGCCTCCTTTGATGAATAAATATTCCCTAACCCAAAATAGAGTCTTTATTCCTTGAGGATGTTGAAGGACAGAAAATATTTATCCACATATATCCACTCTTAACAGCCTTAAATATGCAGGGCACCATAGTTTTTAAGTTCAAATGTATGGGGAAGGGTAACAGCTCTAGAACTAGTAAACATTATTTTAGCTGGAAAGATTTAGATTACCTAATTTTAACCCGTTTTAGAGATGAGGAAGCTGAGTTCCTGAGGGTTGTTACTTGTCACACAGCTGGAGGATTATGAAACTAGGACTAGAGAATAGGTCTGATCCCTGTTAATTCAGTTCTTCCATATTGGTTCTCAAGAAACTGAATTTCCACTCCTCTTATTCACCAATGTGGCCTTTTGGAATCAAGTCCCCATGTACTATCATGCCTTGTCATTCACTTAGTTCGTTCTGTTGCAATATGGTCTTTTTCTTTACATCCCCCATTTTTATGGTGAACGAGCTTCCCCAGACAGCAGGTTTTCTGTAGGTTTTTTAAGTTTTATTTAATCTCTGCACCCAATGTGGGGCTTGAACTCATGACCTAAGATCAAGAGTCGCATGCTCTTCTGACAGCCAAGGCACGCCTGTTTCATAGTTTTTTCAGTCTGTATATATGAGTTAATATTGAACCAACTTTTATTCCTGTATGTTACCAATCTCCATTTACAATTTATATTGTGAAACTGTGGGAAGCCTGCCCCCAAAAAATCTTAGGTAAGTGTGTATCTCGAGTTGTTGCAGTAGGTACTGTTGAATGGTGGAATTTGGTGGTGCCCTAAAAATTAGGATTGAAATTCAAGCCAGAGAATTTTATTATGTACAGGGTCTTGAATTGGGTTCTTGTTTAATTAGGAATTACTAATGTCTGAGCTTTTGCCATGTTGGGGGGAATATAAACTTGATAGCAGAAAAACCGGATGGAATTTTAAAAGCCAGAGGGAAAAGCTTGGAAAGGGCACTGTTTGGTAATATGGTGTGTTGTAGCTTATTGATAGTTGGGTCAGTGTATAACTACCACTGTTAAACTGTTCTTCATTGTTCTCCCCCTATTTCACATATGTTGCTATCATAAAGACCTTTTCTATGCAAAAATTTATGGAGTTTTTTTTTAAGTTATCTCTATACCCAACGTGGGCTTGAACTTATGACCCCAAGATCAAGAATTGCCCCCTCCCAACTGAGCCAGCTAGGCATCCCTAAGGAGCACTTTATTTACTTATTTAAAAATTTTTTTTAAAGATTTTATTTGACAGCACAAGCAGGGGGAGCGGGAGCAGGAGAGGGAGAAGCCGCGTCCCTGCTGAGCAGTAAGCCCTATGCGGGGGCTCCATCCCAGGACCCTGGGATCATCACCTGAGTCAAAGGCAAAGGCTTAATGACCTGAGCCGGAGGCAGAGCCTTAACCAACTGAGCCACCCAGGCACCCCTAAGGCGCACTTTTTTTTTTTTTTAATGATTTTATTTATTTGACAGAGACACAGTGAGAGGGAACACAAGCAGGGAGAGTGGGAGAGGGAGAAAAGCAGGCTTCCCGAGGAGCAAGGAGCCCGATGTGGGGCTCGATCCCAGGACCCTGGGATCACGACCTGAGAAGGCAGACGCTTAACGACTGAGCCACCCAGGTGCCTAAGACGCACTCTTAAAGAACATTTTGAAAATAAGTGAATTGTTGAAAATACCGAAAGTAATCTTTGCATTTTAATTTTTTTGCCTTTGGAGGGGAGGTTCAAATGATGGGAGTTATACTGCCATTTTGAGTAATTGGAACAATTTAGCTAAACTCTTTCTGGCTGCTCTCACATTAATACCCCACATATTTATATCCTGAAAGCGGCAAATAGTATCTAAGTGAACATTGTTTTGTACAAGGAAATGAGAGAATTTTTACTCCAAAGCACCCCTCCTATTCATGCACACTGCTTGAGGCCAAAACAAAAGGTATTAGCAGCTTTTCAGAAATAGGAGTGTCAAGTCGTTTGGTTCATTTTTTTGCTTGTTCATGTTTTTGTGGAAATTATTTTAACCTGATGATCAGTTTATTTTTTTATTTTGTATTTATTTAAATTCGATTAGCCAACATACAGTACATCATTAGTTTTTGATGTAGTGTTCAGTGATTCATTAGTTGTGCTATAACACCCAGTTTATATTCTCCCGAAAGGGGATGATGTGGAATGGAAGATATCTTGGTGAGGAGTAGCACAGTTTGAGGAGAAATGGGAGACTTTGGTCATAGTGTGTAGTTCTGTAGGAGACTGTGCCAGCAGGAGGTCAATAGAAGGTGGAATCCCTGGATATGAGGGAAGCCTGCTGGAGAGTCTTCCCAACGTCCTTGTGGGGGTTACGGTGTATCGGAGAGGGCCAGCTGTGCTGCTGAGGGTTATTTTTGAGTTAAGATACTGCTGCTTTTAAATATGACTAACAGTGATTCTGGATTGTGGTTTTGCATTAGAATCCCCTGTTGAGCTTTTAAAAACATACCAATGCCTGAGTCCTACCCCTAGAAATGTATTTTCTTTTTTTTTTTTTAAAGATTTTATTTATTTATTAGAAACAGCATGAGACGGGAGAGGGTCAGAGGGAGAAGCAGGCTCCCCGCTGAGCCGGGAGCCCCATGGACTCGATCCCAGGACTCCGGGATCATGACCTGAGCCGAAGGCAGTCGCTTAACCAACTGAGCCACCCAGGTGCCCTAGAAATGTATTTATTTTCAAAGCAATGGAATGAGAAGCAATTCTGGGATGCATCATCACAACTCTTAAGAGTTAATAAGCACCTTATGGATGGTGAAGATTACATGAAATAAATGTTTCAGCCACCTAGCACAATGCCTCCCACGTACTGAACTCTTTAAATAAAAGTTATTATTTTCAGCATGCAGTAAAGGCTCTGCCATAGGATGCTGAGGCTTCAACAGAATTCCATAATCTGTGACGATGCCTTGTACTTAACATATATGAAAAAGGCCAAGAATTTTCTATTCGTTTCTAAAACAATTCAATCTTTGTCTCGTTAGTAGGCTTTTTAATAAATGCTTAATGCTAAATTGTGCCCTAATGAGTCTTTAAGGAAAAACAGTCCTCAGGATTTTAATGATTCTCCAATATTCTAAAAACTAGAAGACCCATCCACAACATACTTCAACATTCTGATTATGTAGGTGGTGATTTGAGGGGTGATCCTCCATGTAGTAGGACACACATGTGCTTTACAGTGAGACTTTAGTCTGTAAAGTGGTTAGCTAAAGAAAGTTCCTCAGAGTGGAACATAATTAGAATAGAGCATATAAACAGGTTAGGAATTTAATCTATTTGGAATGTGAAGTGTTATTTCCCTGTAAGCAGTGACTTGTGACTATGTATGAGATCATTTTAGGATTTCCAATACCTCTGGGGCCTTTATGAAACCATTTAAAGTCTCAGAATTGTCATGTAGTGTTTGCTTTCTTGCAGTTCGTATTTTTAAGGCATATTATGTGGCTAACTTTGCCACAAGTTACAGAACTTGGAATATTAAGGGAAGAATTTTCTCACATTTTTCAGTTCATGCTGTTTAAAATTATTTGATGTTTGTAATTTTAGCAATTATTTTTGCAAAGGAGGCCAAATTCATCTCTAGGAGAGCAGGACAGGTGGGTTAGGGGAGTTTTTTGCTTGTTTATTAAATATAGAAATAGCATGGGATTGGGGAAAGCAAACAAACTTAATCCACATCATTTTATTCAGCTCAGTCTGAGAGAAGGGGAAAAGAATGGAGAGATAGGAATCATGCTCTCCCTCCACAATCCAGTGATTAAAAAGGGTGTGAGAGTGGCATGTCAGACCTAGTAGGGAGTATGTGCCATTTTGTTTACCTTCGACGAAGGCAAAACATGGCCACCATTTTCCTTATCTCAGGTGGTTTGTTTGTTATATGGCAAATGAGTTTCAAGAGAAAATAAATGCCTTCAGTTGTCTCTCTGTGCCATTGATTTGCCTTTCTTTGTGTGAGGATACAGCTAAGAAAAGAATGGACAGATGCATACTAAATTTGGCTTAGGAGTGATGGATACAGAATGTATGTGTAAATATGTATGGTTAAGTCACACAGAAGTGACATGGGGCACCCTGCAATCCTGGGGTTGAAAACTTGTTAGAAATACTTGTCAGTGAGTCATTTATTAATTCGGTTACTTAGTGAAGTTCAAAAGCACAAGAGCAGCATTTTAACAGTAGAAGGAATAGAAAATATTAAAATGTATTGGGGCGCCTCGCTGGCTCAATCTGTGGATCACAGGGTCATGAGTTCAAGCCTCACGTTGGGCATAGAGATTATGTAAGAAAACAAAAAAGAAAGAAAATGCATTAAACTATGGTTGAACATAAACAATTACTGTTCTTGTAGGTTAGAATTAGTCAAATGACTGCAATTTCATATGGGTTCAGCCTAGTATGTGTGTTCTGGATCAGAGTGAGAGACATTAAGAAATTGGTTCAAACCCGATTGCATAATCCAGGTAGAGTAAATCCCAATAATAAGGCCCTGGAGATTGCCCATTACCTCTGGCATTCTGGAATAAATTGGGGCCCTTGAAATTATGGGAGATGCAGAAAAAAGTTGGTAATATTCAAGGCAAAAAACAGATGCTTGAGAGCTAAGAGACGCTATGTCAGTGCATATTTTTGTGTTTCATTTAAATTTAGTTATTACCTTAGTAGGCTTCAAGAGATGAACAACTTCCAGATTATTCTCAGTAAGTTGTACATTGAATTCTTGAATAAAACTCTCCATATACCCAGCAACAAATTTAAAAACCAACAGAATTTCTGTTCATGTTAAAGGAAAATTAATTAAGGCTTTAAACATTTTTTGACCTCTTTTAAATAGTAATTTCTTGCCACCTGCTTCAGAACAATACATTGTGTTCTGAGGAAATTCTGACAATACTGGGTTTACAAAAACCTGTTGGGAATGCTGATTACTAGGCTTTCTGAATTGAATTACAAATGGAAGACTAGTACTTAGAATATAGTAGGGGGGCACTTACTGCTTAAAGACATGAGAAGTTATGCAGAGTATGGAGAACTGCTCATGCTCCCCTTCACTGTATTTAAAAAGCAGGTGAAAAATGGAACATACATATAGGGCAGTGGTTTTGAAATTGCCTGGAACCATGGGGTTGTGCAAGAGGACAGTAGAGAGATGGCCAGCCAGGGACAGAGAAGTGGAAAGGGCCAGGATTCCGGACCCTCTGCTCGATTTCACTCACAGCTGCTCTGTTCATCTAGTTTATATATTTGGATCCTGCTTCCTAAACGTTTGAAAAACATTGCTATAGTCATGAAATAGCTGTTGGACCATTCCTTGTCATAAGATTTCATCTGTCTAATATTTCATTAGGTTTTTAGGTCAACCTAAGGGTTCAGAACAAATTTTGTATTGATTTAGAGTCCTCAATATGTATTTTACAAATCAATGATGGACCTTCATGATTTTGAGAGCAGCCATCCTTTTGAATCTTTTGATCCTGATCTGATCTGTGTTTATCTTTTGAACAGATTGTAATTTTATTTTAATGTCCCATTTTCAGTTGAGTTGGTCATCTGGAGCAAAGGTCATTATCATATCTGTTTTACCCCAAATCTCCAACTTGTAGCAAAAAGTGGAGTACAGTGATTTTAGTCAAAACTGTTGTAGGACATGAACAAGTAAACAAGAAGGCTTGTTATTCTGGAAATTTCTGGCAATTTTACTTTAAGGCAGGATTCTTTTTTATTTTATTTTTTATTTTTTTTTATTTTTTTATTTTTTTTATTTTTTATTTTTTTAAAGATTTTATTTATTTATTTGACAGAGAGAGACAGTGAGAGCAGGAACACAAGCGGGGGGAGTAGGAGAGGGAGAAGCAGGCTTCCCGCTGAGCAGGGAGCCCGATGTGGGACTTGATCCCAGGACCCTGGGATCACGACCTGAGCCGAAGGCAGACGCCTAACGACTGAGCCACCCAGGTGCCCCTTATTTTATTTTTTAAAAGATTTTATTTATTTGAGAGAGAGAGAGCGCGCGCATGAGCACGAGTTGGGGGAGGGGCAGAGGAGACTTCCCA